CGTTGGAAAGCTAAAGAGATGTTCTATCTAGAAAAAAAATTGAATTTTTTCTGATATGACGACCGTCATGGACTTTCCACGACCGTCACGACCGTGACGCTCGTCATGGACTTGCCACGACCGTCATAGTAACGAAATTCAGTTAAATGCAGAATTTGGACGTGGCTGAGAGTGGGTAGCAAAAATACATTCCCATAGACTATTTTACCCTCAATTACACCATTTGGGGAAAAGAAAGACTGAAAAGAGAAGTTACACATTGAGGAAAGTTGAGATCAAAGAATCAACCACCGGTAGAAAGTGATGGTTGTATGAGTGGTATGATGTTATGATGCTCTGTTATGGACATTCTGGTTGTAGGCGTAATGCCTTGTTATATGGTTGCTATGGTTGTGTTGTAGTCCGTAATAGATGCATTTCATGGCATAGCATTTGGCCTGGATTGGCGACAGTTGTGCGTGTATTGGCGTTATTTGGAGTGTTGACTCCTAGATGGGTTCGGGGTGTTGGCCCTGTCCCGAGTTTTGGAGTGTTGGCTCCTAGATGGGGTCTGTCCCGAGTTTTGGAGTGTTGGCTCCTAGATGGGTTCGGGGTGTTGGCCCTGTCCCGAGTTTTGGAGTGTTGGCTCCTAAATGGTACCACATGCATGTGCACAGTTGAGTCGCATTGTTGAGTCGCATGAAGTCGCATAATTACGCTAGTTGTATGTTAATGTTGTTTATGTGAGATATGGATTGCTCGCAGTTGTTGTCGATGATGTTTATGATTTCGAAACCTATAATGCTGTGATGAGTTTCCGGCATGTTTTCTATCATGCTTTATGTTATATTATTGATATCTCACACTTTTCCGTTGTATGTTACCTCCTCTGGTGGTAATTTGCAGGTAGTCAGGAATAGAGCGTAGTTCCCGTTAAGGTGTCGTTGGTTGCTCTGATACATAGCACTCTTGGGGGGATGGACGATTGCTGTTATTATTTTAGTCGATGTTATTGTTGATTGAACTTGTTACGATGTTTTTATTAAATTGTTTTAAGAGAACATGTTGTATACTTTATCGAACTTCCACCGGAAGTAATGACGAGTTGTTTTATGATTAAATGGTTAAGTAATACATTGGTGATTGGTCATCCAATTTCGTGCTACGTATGATATTTGCAAGTTGTTGCATAATGATTGTTGTCTGTCAGGTTGAAGTGTAACATCTCTGATATGAGGAATTTTGCCCGTGTGACGACTGTCACAGGCTCATGACGACCGTCATGCAGTCAATGTTTGCGCTGCTGCGCTTTGTTTTCTATATGAATTGTTGTTTTTCCTGTTATCCGCAAGTTTAGATTTGGGGTGTTACATCATTCCCTGGTTGTTTAGGGCCAGAAAGTAACATAGATAACATCATGTACTTACGCTTCATACATAGCCATGGAGGTAGGTTATAAATCATAATAATTACAGGCCAGGTGGAATGTGAGATACTCTGCAGACCATGCAGATTCATTCCATCAGTCGATAATGCCAAGCGAAGGTTTCTAGCTTCTTCTCCAAAATTAGGATAATCATTATCAATTTTCATCCACGTTGGTGAATCTGCCGGATGTCGATACTTCCCATCTACAATTCTATCATCTGCATGCCAAGTCAGGTGTTTTGCATCTGTTTCACTATGAAACATGCGTCTAAATCTCGGAATTATAGGAAAATACCATAATACTTTTGCTGGTGACAATTTTTTCTTATACCGAGATACACCGCATTTAGGACACTCATTTAATGATGCATATTCATTTCGAAACAAAATGCAATCATTTGGACAATCATGTATCTTATCATAGCTCATGCCAATAGAGCATAACATTTTTTTAGCTTCATAGGTTCGATTGGGAAGAACATTATCCTACGGAAGCATCTCTTGAAGTAAGGCTAACAACTCTGTGAAACTTTTATCTGACCATCCATTACCCGCCTTTAAATTGTACAACTTTAATACCGCAGACAATCTTGTGAAAGTAGTGCAACCTTTATACAACGGTTTCTCCGCATCGCTTACCAACCTCTCAAACATCTTGGGACAATCTTGAAGATCTTCTTCAAGTGCTTCTGCAATCTCTTCGACTCGATCACAATCATATGTATCCCTGCCATTGTCCTTTGAAGCACATGTTGTATTATTCCGGGGTTCAACATTCTCGTTACTTATCTCACCATGTAATGTCCAACATGTGTAACTTCGATCAATTCCATGTCTCATTAAATGAGATTCCAACTGAACAGCGTCAACTCGACGCCCATAACAGCATCCTAAGCAAGGACATGTGATCCTACTGGGGTCTTTGGTGTGTTCAACAACAAACTTAACGAACTTCGATACCCCATTCTCGTACTCTTTTGACAATCGATTACCAGACACCCATTTTTTATCCATACTAATTGAGTAATCTACACTAAACTATAAAAGTTAAACAAAACAGAGAATACCTGTAAGGAAATCACTAACTTCTAAGAATGCTACGCAATAGGATGCTTGGAAACTATCACAACTTTGCTCTTCACAGGTAACCCCTATAGCAGACAAAATATAAATTTTATTAAAATCATATTAATAATTAACCAAGACAAAAATACTAGATAATCCACGAAAACAAATCATATTAAAATTACTAGATAATCCTTAAACCAAAATGACACCCTTACTAAATATTGAGAAATCCTAACTAAACATATAAAACCATAATAACATATAAAACTATATCATATAAAACCATATTCATGTTGGTTTTATAAACTCTCTTATCCATATAAAACTCTCTTAAAAAATATAAACTCTCTTATACATATAAAACTCTCTTAAAAAATATATGTATAAACTCTCTTATCCATATAAAACTCTCTTAAAAAATATAAAACTCTCTTAAAAACTCTCTTATACATATAAAACTCTCTTATCCATATAAAACTCTCTTAAAAAATATAAACTCTCTTAAAAACTCTCTTATAAACTCTCTTATAAACATTGCATTTTCATGACCAAACAGTTATCACAAACAATGGTAAAACTCTCTTAAACATTGAAACTCTCTCAAACAATGGTTAAAAACTCTCTTAAAAACTCTCTTATAAACTCTCTTATAAACTCTCTTAAACATTTCATGACCAAACAGTTATCACAAACAAAACTCTCTTATAAACTCTCTTATAAACTCTCTTAAAACATACAAAATATAAACTCTTGTAGAAAACATATTCAGTTCAAATACTTAACTCTCAAATATAAACCCTCAAATATAAACTCTCATATAAACTCTCAAATAAAAACTCTCTGTTCTACTTAAAGATTACAACAACAATGGTGAAAACATATTCAGTTCTACTTAACTTGATTGCATTCAAATAATAAAAACATATTCAGTTCTACTTAAAGATTACAGCAACAATGGTGAAAATATACGTAAAAAAGAAAATCAGAGTAAAACTTCAAATACCGTAACAATGGCGGAAATGCAATGCAGACGAGCAGAGGGACGGTGAACGGCGGCGAAATGCAACAGAGGAGGGCGACGGTTGGACGGCAACGGTGGGTTTATAGGGCAACGTTCTTTGTTCGCCAGAGAAAAAGAAAGAAAGAAATACGTAATGACTGTTTTGTTTCTCATAAAAATTCTGGTGGGTATTTTAAATTAATTCTAACTAAACCTATAGCAGCGCTTTAAAAAGCGCTCACAAAGATCTTCTAATGTACCCCATATAGCAGCGCTTTATGGAAAAAGCGCTCTCGTAGACTAGACCTACAGCAGCGCTTTAGAAAAGCGCTGTCTTTGGGCTGTCTTAGACCCCCCATTTAGCAGCGCTTTTTGGAAGCGCTGCCTTAGGACCCCCCCTTTAGCAACACTTTTTAAAAAGCGCTGTCTTTGGGCTGTCTTATACCCCCCTTTTAGCAGCGCTGTCTTAGGACCCCCATTTAGCAGCGCTTTTTGAAAAAGCGCTGTCTTTGGTTATCAATTTTTTTTCCAATTCCTCTTTAGCAGCGCTTTTTCTAAAAGCGTTGTCTTTGTATGCGCTGCTAAATGTCAATTCTAGCGTAGTGCCAACACCTATCACCTTAAGGTCTTAGGTGGATATGTGGTGTCTCTCTCACTTGTGTGTTGCTCTTAACCTAATGTTGACGCTCCTCCTAATGACCTAACAAATGGTATCATGAGGCTTTGGTTCGAGTAAAAAGGATTGACTTACTTGTATTGAAATGCCCAGGAAGAGGTGTCTCATTGAAATCGAAATACTCAGGAAGAGATGTCAACGGTGGTACAAGTGTATGTGGACAAAAGAGTTTTCACTTAAGGGGGAGTATTGTAAACTCACACTTGAGGGGGTGGGTTGAGAATAATAAGTCAAATGTGAGTTGGAGTCTCACATTAGTTATAAATATAGAGACTTGAACATTTACAAGTGGGAGAGTCCACACGCCTATCAACTTAAGATTTTAGGTGGGTATGTAGTGTCTCTTACTTGTTGTTCTTAACCCAATACTAATGTTCCTCCTCATAACCTAACAATTTAAAACTATCAAACAACAAATTTATTTAACAATTTTTACTTCTTACTAGGTTTAAACCAGATTTCTTGCTCGTGCAATTTATCTTTACTGGATTAATGCGCTCATTATTTAATATGATATAAATTATACTAAAATTTACAGAATAGAAAAAATATCAAAGAAAATTAATGAAAAAAGAAAAAAAAAATTAAAAAAATTAATTAAACATGACTAAATTTATTATTTCAAAATTATTAACTTACATAATTCATATAACAATATAAATGAAACAAACAATTAAAATATTAATCTTACTAAACATTATTTAAATAAACATATTCATAACATTAAATAGATAAATTTCATCATCCTTATTTCACTGATGAAACTATTATTTAGTTATTCAAAAAAATTATATAATATACCATCCATAGTTTTGACATATTTCCTACTACAGAGAGAAATATCTGATATTAAATTTCTCTTTTGGTTATCTTAACCTTGAGACCATGTTTCATGAGAAGTACAATTGAAAGACTAGGAGTGACACAAGTACCTTCCACAACATGAACACAATAGTTCCACAAAATAGAAGCAGTCACCATCTTAACTTGAATAAAAGCCAAATCTCTTCCCAAACAAGTTCTAGGCCCTGCATTAAAGCTAAAGAACTTGTAAGATGGCACATAATTAATGCCTCCTCTCTCAGAAATCCATCTCTCTGGCTTGAACTCCAAGCAATCTTTTCCCCAAATATCTTCACACCTTCCCATTGCATATATAGAAAACAATATCAATGTTTTTGGATAAACATGATGACCACTTGGAAGTATATCAGGTTTAACTGCTTCCTTTCTCTCAAATGGTATAGGTGGAAAAAGCCTTAGCGCCTCGCATATAGTACCATGCAGATAAACAAGCTTTTTCGTCTCATCAACACTTAAAACCCAAGGCTTCTCTTTGTGTCCAAAGTTTTCTTTAATCTCTTCAAGAATCTTAGTTTCTACTAAAGGGTGTGTAGAAATAAGATAAAAAAGCCATGTCAGCGCGGAAGTTATAGTATCTCTCCCTGCTACAAAGAGATTGAAAGCAGCATCTCTAAGAAACTTGTCACCACTTTCATCACCCTCTGATTCTTCTTCTCCAATCATCGCAGTTAACAAATCAACATGATGATTTTTCGCACTCTCAACCTTGATTTCATTTTTGTTACGATTTTTCATAAGCTCTTTTCGTTTCAAAGATATGCATTCGAATAAAAATTTATCAAATACTTTGCATGCCTCGGTCATTTTTTTCTCTTCCCCGATTTGAAGCCGTCTTTGCAACTTCCAAACACACCTTGGCACGGTGTGTCTATAGAAGATGGATTCTTCGGCTTGATTAAAAGCCTTCTCAACTGCAACTTCGGGGAAATCTACAGAAAGACAGTTCGGATCATTTCCAAGAACTATCAAACAAATATTATCAAACGTGAAACGATTGAAAATATCTTGTAAATCGACCATGGACCCTTTTTCTTGTACATGATTCAATAAAGGAATCAATGATTTCTCAACTTTGTTGTGAATGACTTTCTCTTGATAAGCTTCAAAGCTCTTTTGTTTGAAAAGATATTGGAAAAGATTCCTACTGTATTTCCATTCATGTGAATCAGTGGTGAAAATACCTTCACCAAAAGGTTGAAACATTTCACGAAACAAATCACCTTTCACAAAGTTGTCGAAACTCTTGCTCATAATGTGGTGGACATTATATGGATCAATTGTGATTACACCCTTCATATTGGTAAACCAAGGTCCTAAGAACTCAACTGTGCCACCTTTTGCTTTCAAAAATTGAGCTGAAAATGCATGAATACGTGAAACGTTCCAAAGGAATGTTGGTAGCATACCAACAAAAGGCCAGTTTGTGAAAGCAGGAGTTTTGAGATACAGTGTTTGGTAAAAAGCATATATGAATAAGGGGAGGATGAGTGTGATAGACATGGCTAGAAACGTTGATAGCATGATTATTGTTAATGTCAATGAATTTGAGGGATATCATGTTATTATGTCATGCTCCCAATGTGTCTTTATATAAAGGCTTAAATGCCCAATTTTGGTTACAAAACAAAGTAAAAATCAGATGACAAACGATGATATCATTGTGCATTAATAGTCAAACTACATTTAATAGGAAAGTTCGTTTTATTTGTTTATCTTTAATATAAGTTATGATTTTTAAATTAGTAATATAAGTTATTGTTCCCTTCATTGTTGATCAATAGTTTTATGGTGATAGTGTATTGAATACAAAAATTAATTTTTGCGGACCACTCATAATAGTTCTAATTAAAAATTAATTTTTACAATCATATTTGGATTTCACTAGTCATTTAAAACAGCTTATAAATTTATAGCTTATTTTAAATAATATGAGAAGAAATTATTAAAATAAAAGATAAGATTGTAGAATTAATACATAAAATAACCATTTAATACATAAAATTAAAAAAGTAAAAAACAAAATAGCTACTTAGTAAGAAGATTGCCCATTTAAGAAAAAAAACAAGAAAGTTGTTTTCTCATTGAACTTAACATTTGACTAATTTAATTTTATCCAATAAAAACTTAACACAGTGATTCATTATTTTTTGTATGACAACTCTTCTTTTTAAATAGCTTTTTTTAAAAAAAGGAATATATATATATATATATATATATATATATATATATATATATATATATATATATATATATATATATATATATATATATATATATATATATATATATATATATATATATATATATATATATATATATATATATATATATATATATATATATATATATATATATATATATATATATATATATATATATATATATATATATATATATATATATATATATATATATATATATATATATATATATATATATATATATATATATATATATATATATATATATATATAATGGAGTTAAATTTACTTTAATTTATTTTAAATTAGTGTGATGTAATCCAAGTTGTTGTTCAAGTCTAAGTTAGTTAGGGTTAGGATTTGTTATGTTAGTTACTTAGTGCTTAAGTTATACTTTGATCGTATTTCTCATGCTAAATCGGCGCAGGAGACATGGGATATTATTTTCAAGTATTACAAAAGAAGGTGAGAATAATAAAGTCGTCAAATTGCTGACGTTGTGAATTGTATACCCTAATTTTAAGCCCTAACATCTCACCTTATTTGCATCTTTACTTTTGCAAAGATCACCAAGCACCTCTTTATGTATCTTTATATTTTGTATTTATATGTTTTATATTTCACTAACCTCTAATCAAAATACAAAATCATATTCCTTGTCCCTTTTATTTCTTTTGCAAGGTAGGGTTTGGAATTAATTAAGATCATCAAGTGATTGCATCCCCAACTAGGGTTTTACTTCCTCAAGTCAAAGTGTGGTAAATTATTAATTTTCAAAAAATATTCATCAAAGAATGACCTCTAATCTAAAATCTTAAAGCCTCAAGCATCATTCTACTTCACTTGATTAAAGATAACTCAAAGATTGGATGACTTGTTTCTCAAGAATTTTCAAAGGTTCATATGTTTATTTTCATGCCTTCATTAACAAGTTTCTTCAAGCCATTGCAAGTTTCATCAAAAGACAATTAAGAGTACATAACTTTGAGTTTATATGATCCTTAATGTTCCTTGAAATACAAGAAAATATCCAAGGTTGCAAGTTTGTACAGGGAGGTTTGACCAAAAAGTGAACATTTCAAGCCTAAGTTCAAGACTTTATAACTTATTCATACTTTAACATTTTTGAGTGCTTCTTTGGACAAATGACTCACCTTGATATTGCCTCCAACTTCTCTTTACAAGTCAATAGCTAATTAAGCTTTAAATACCATCAAAAGTGTAAAAACATTATAGGTCATTTTGTTGACTTAGTGAAATTTGACCTAAAGTTCAAGCATGACATGTCTATGTTCCAAAGATCATAACTTCTTCAATTTTCAACTTTTATGGGCGCTTCGTTTTGCCAAATATCCTTCTTGATGTCCTTTACAAGCATCCAATTGTAGTGTTTTCCATGAAAGGAACATTTGTTCACACCGTGACTCATCATTTTGAAAATCATGTGCAAACTTCATTTGAGGAACACCAACCTATGTGCATTTCACTTGTTGTTACTAAACACATCCCATTGAGTGAAAAACAACATGAATAAGCTCAGGAAGTTATCGCATCTCAAAAAATACAAATTGAAAATACGACCTTTGCGCGAAAGGCGCAAAAGAAATTTGGTTCGACAGAGTCGCCACCGAACTTAATTTATCCCAAAAGAGGGAAAGGAAAATATCGAGAAAATCTTTAAAGAGATAAGTGTTAGAACATAGATTGGTTCTTAATAATAACTCTTTGTTTTGATGATAACTGTTAGGAAATTTTATATTTAAGAATTATATACTCTAAAATTTGTTTGAGAGTTTTACTGCAGATTGAAATGAAATTAACTCTCTAGAAGCAAATCTGTATTGTATACAAGAAGTTATCCTGACTCTGAAGCGCCAGATGCATCTTACAGAAGAATCTGAATGCTCTTTACAGAAGATCCTGAGCGTAGTCTCCAGAAGGATCTGAAGCAAGAAGCTCCAGAACATTCTGAGTCAGAAGCATCTGAAGATAGTCAGAAGCATCTGAAGCTGAAGCATCTGAAGCAAAGAAGAATATTGTTTGAAGAGTTTCTCAAAGCATAAATCTACAGAAGTTTCTGAAAGTACTAACGCTGCCAAGTACTGAAGTTCTGTGTCAAATATGCTCTGATGATCAACACGCTGAAAGCACACATGCTGCAGAAGACTCTGATACAGTAAAGTTTTGAATATCATTAGAAGACTCTGATCCATTCAGACTCTGAAGAACTTGCTGAAAACTGAAGAAGAAATATTCAAGAATATATCTGTTGGAGTAAATCAACGTCTCTTTCCTCTTTTGTGCTAGACACAATTACACAGACAAAAATGATTTTTCTGTGTTATCTAATTCAAGGAAAGGTCACTTGATGTGAAGACAAAAAGGCTCAGACCTTTTTGGGACTCTCTTTTCAACACTCAGCATCCTTGGATCAGCTGCCTATAAAAGGAGAACTCCACCACATTCTTCAGTCACACAATTTGCTGAAAAGAAATCATATTATTCTAAGCTCTCATTCTTTCATATTCTTCTTAGAATTTCTTGTACTTAAACTTAAGAGAAAAATCACTGTTGTGATAAAAGCTTTATAGAAGCATTAATACTCTTGTATTTAATTTACATTGACTGTAAAGGTTTTTCCTTAAGAGGATTCAGTTGGAATCAGTAGCTCTTGAGAAGACTAAGAACAGTTGTTCTTAGGTGTTACTATTGTAATCAGTTTGATTTAATAGTGGATTAAGTCCTTGTTGAGAAAGGCAAATCACTCTAGGAAGGGTGGACTGGAGTAGTTGTTTAAACGAACCAGGATAAAAATAATTGTGTGATTATTTTTTAAGTCTTAATCTTTCATACTTATTCAACCCCCCTTCTAAGTATTATCTCACCTTCAGTTGGCATCAGAGCTCCGGTTCTGAGTGTGCTACCACTTAACAGTGTCAGTAAAGATCCTGAGAGAAATACTTTGATATATATTTATTTGTTACCATGGCTGATAATTCAATGTCCAATGTTAACAATAAATATGAAGAAAGGGATATGATCAACACCAAACCCCCAATGTTTGATGGAGAGAAATTTGACTACTGGAAAGACAGAATTGAGAGTTTTTTTCCTAGGATATGATGCTGATCTATGGGATATAGTCATAGATGGATATGTCCATCCCACAGATGGGAATGGCAAGAAGATTGACAGAAAATCTACGACAGATGCTCAGAAGAAAGATTTCATAAATCACCACAAAGCCAGGACTATATTATTGAATGCAATTTCACATACAGAGTATGAGAAAATTACAAACAGGGAGACTGCTTTTGATATGTTTGAATCCCTAAAAATGACTCATGAGGGAAATTCTCAAGTTAAGGAGACAAAAGCTCTGGCTCTGATCCAGAAGTATGAGGCCTTCAAAATGGAAGAGTCTGAATCTGTTGAAGCCATGTTCTCCAGATTTCAGATACTCACTGCTGGGCTGAAAGTTCTGGACAAGGGATACTCTACATCAGATCACGTAAAGAAAATCATCAGAAGTCTGCCTACCAGATGGAGACCAATGGTGACTGCCTTGAAGATGGCTAAAGATCTGAACAAGATCTCTCTAGAAGAACTCATCAGCTCACTGAGGAGCCATGAGATTGAGCTTGAGGAAGATGAACCTCAGAAGAAAGAAAAAGGTAAATCTGTTGCATTAAAATCTAACAAAACTGCTAAAGCTTTGCAGGTCATTCAAGAAAGCTCTGAAGAATCTTCTTCTGAAGAAGAAGATGAGTTATCCATGCTGTCCAGAAGGATCAACAGATTCTGGAAGCACAAGGGAAAGAAGTTCAACAACTTCAGAAGATCTGATAATAGAAAGGAATCTTCTGGACACAGAAGATCTGCCAAGAAAGAAGCTGTGTGCTATGAGTGCAAAGAACCTGGGCACTACAAGAATGATTGCCCCAAACTTCAGAAAGAAAAACCCAAGAAGAAGTTTAACAAAAAAAAGAAGGTTTTGATGGCAACATGGGATGACTCAGATGAATCTGAATCATCTTCTGAATCAGAAGAAGAATGTGTCAATGTTGCACTGATGGCCAGCACAGAGGATCAAGAGGAAGGTACCTCAGGATATGAATCAGAATCTGAATCTGATGATGACGCAAAAGAGGTAATGGCTAAACTTACCAAAGAAGAACTCATAAAAGTTTTAACAGAAGTTTTTAAAAGTTATAACAATATAAAACTCAAATACAAGAAGCTGAAAAGCAATCTTGAATCTGAGATTGATCTTCTGAAAACAGAACTTGTTGAGCAAAAAGAAATAAATCTGAAAATCAA